CACACACACACACACACACACACACACACACACACACACACACACACACACACACACACACACACACACACACACACACACACACACACACACACACACACACACACACACACACACACACACACACACACATACATACATACAAATATATAAACACACATGACATAATTAGTCCAAATGAAAAAGAAGCGTGTGAATCAGGGCATCATGCATCAGTCATTATCCAATGTTGGGCAGGGATATCAGATTGCATGCCTGATGCACCCAGCACCTCTTGAAATGCTGTGTCAGTTACTGCAACAACAGTTGATTTTGTTGTGGTACTAGTTACTGCAACACAGTAGCTGTTGCAGTGCCAGTTACTACAATACCTTCTGTGACAACTGAAGTGACCTCAACTAATGATATTTGTCACAGTAACCTCATTACCAGAAATGTGATTCAAGTTTTGTGTACAGCTCATTTAGAGCTTTAAAATGCACTATGAAAAGTTTAATTTATCTTTCTATTTGAAGGTTTTACAGCCACTTTTTCATCAAATTGAATTTGCTGTCAAAGCTCAGAAAAGAAGATCAAACCAACTTGTTTCGATGCATTTTAAAGATCTAAAAGTGATCTATAATGCATTGCCGTTATCATGATCACGTTTGCTACAGTAATTTGAGTTGTAGCATTTATGCTAGTAGCCATGAAAACTTCAATTACTGTGAGAAATGTGACCTTGACATCAGCAAATACTACAACAAATGAAACTGCAACAGAAAAAAGTACGGCAACAAATTTAATGTCAATAAAAAATATGGCAACAAATATAACTAGGACAAATACATATTAAGATAACAGTTTTTCTTTAAAAAAACATATAATGCATATCTGAAGTATCATCAATCCTATTCAGGTGTACACCTGAATAAATAACTGTAACTAGCAGGCATTTCAAAACACCCACCTGATATGCATTGCAAAAGTCCCAAGTAGGCATTACATGAAACGCATGGCAGTTTTGGCATGAAAGGCATTTACCATGGGTTTTGCTATACCAAATTATTTTTTTGGTACCCATTGGTGTAGATGCTGGTGTCTCATCTGGGCTTCAACAGATTTTGAACACGGGAAAAAGTGTGGTTCTGAACTAACCATTGATTTTCATTGTTCACAGACAAAAGTGAAGATCTTTTGTTCGTGGAGACCACAATGAGATCAACGGATATCTGCGAATACTTTTGGGACTGTCCGAACTCTCCCACTTACTTTGATCACGGATTCCACGTATGTTATGCTGGACAAGCGGCCCATGGAAGGTGCTATGTGAGTTTCACCTCTTTTTGTCATTTTCTTCCAATGAATATCTCTGTATGCATATCCTCATGTCCAGTTCGACGCATAATGTAAACACTTCAAACTACATAGGAATGAGGTTCAGTTTTGGAAATATGAATGGGGAATGAGTGAAAAACCAGTATTAGTAAGTTAGGTTTTTCTAGAAACTTCCTTATTGTAATCTCAGCTCTCCAAACAAGTTTCTCCTTCAATTTTCATTAGACTCAAACATCCATCAGTCAAAACATTGAAGAAATAAATCAACTAACCACTGGGCTGCTTCCAATATTGAACTTATTGCTTCTGATATGCAGTAGTTTCTATTGAAACTGATGGATAGAAAAGTCACATCAATTCAGAATCACACACTTGGTGCTTTTAATCACAGTTTTGAACATGAATACTCTGTGGAATGTTTCTATTAGAACTAGCAAGTGCCGTGTTTGCTTATGCATGCAGTGAACCCACAGTTTATGGACCACATCCATTTTGTGAATCAGCCCATGGTACAGACTGTCATCCAGCTAACAGACCACAAGCCATTCTGCTGAATTTGAATTTTTTTTAATCAATTTTCAACCGGTGAAACAAATACCTACAGTATTTTCCAAGTTTTTCAACACTGCATGCATGAAACAATGTTTCCTATAATTCATTCCTTTAAACATGCAAACATCTGGAAATTGAACGGAATTACCAAAAATGTAAAGCATTTTTGAGAATCATGAATGAAAAGAAAACTTTATTTGCTGCTTTTCAGCATTCACAAGGCACAACCAAAACTCCCGCATCCAAACCCCATTTCAGAACAGTCCTGAGCTTTACTTAAAAACACAATTCGAATGATCAAAACACATTTTATGTAGAATTTTTATGCTAGACAAATTTCAACATGTGCCAAATACTGCAATGCCTATTACTGCCAAAAATGTATCTTGAGAATCATAAGAAAATAAACCAAAAATGTTTCTTCTACCTTAATTTTGGCTAGCTCTTTCAATTTTCAACATTTTTCACTGCAAATAATGGTAAACTTGTAATAGACACCAGTGTGCATGACACGCTACAAAAGCAAAAAAAAAAAATTATAATGCTCTAAGCTGGAAGAATTGAATTCTTGTTTTTGTTTTTCTTCCCTATTTTTCACCTTTTAAAAATTGCAACAACAAAATTTTCAAATAAAATGATGCAACTGCATTGGAAACACCATGAAGTTCTCTGCACTTTCCATCTTTTAAACCTTAAAAATCCCGCAATTTTAAAGAGGTGAAAAGGAGAATGTAAAACATTTTCAAAATAACTTCTTTCAAAATTCAAGTTTTTTTTCAAATCTAGAAAGGTGTACAAATTCTCTCCTGCACCAAACTTCACAGTTTTAAGCAGTTAGATGCACAAAAAGTTTTAAAAATTTTTCATTTTTGTTTTTGAAAAATTATAGCTAATATAAAAATAGCAAAATATTAGAAACTTTTGGTATTTGGTGATTGAGTGATCAATAACTGGGCTTCTTTCATAACAAATGAGAAAAATATAAGAAATACACTACTGTTTTAAATAGAGGCAGAATTTTTCCCCTTTGAAAACGGAGGTGTTTATTATTTCTACTAATTGTTTAAAGAAGGGGAATTGAAAAAACAGTGATATTTTGTAACTACTCAACACTTGCACTTTATGTACTGTAAATACATGAAACAAGGAAGCATACTGATTAGTCTCTCAATTAAAAAGATCCAAAATAGTACTTATAGTTTCTTGCTTATGAATTCTTTAATTAGTTATATATTTTCAAGCATGAAACATTTTCAAAATTCTCTTAACATCAAAGCCCATTACATGTTCAAACAAGGGAACATTTCCTTCTTAATTCACCTAAGTTTGAATTTACTACCAAAATATTGAAACTTTTTTGATTTTTTAATTCAAAGACTAATAACTTTGCTTCATTCTCTATTGTATTATTGAGAGTGCGTGAAGTGTGTATGGTTTTAAACTTAAAAGAAGAATTCATCAAGCCCTACACCTTGATTGGTTAGGAGTAATTTGTTGGAAATAATGAGCAGAGTGCAGGTACTTGTCTAGGAATTGAATCACAGTACTTGGTTGGTGCACAAATCAACTGGGGATTTCTCCCCAATAGAACTGACCTTTCTTTTCTTGTCACAGAATTCAAATCTCCAAATATAGACACACACACACACACTTGAGGCTTTTACATAATACTATACAAAATTTTAGATTCAAAATCTTAGTATTCCATAACACACTCTTTCCCAATTTTGTCAATTTTTAAAGTTTTGCACTTTTGGATTTTTCAAAGTTCCCTTTTAAATATTTGACATAGGTATTCCAGCTGTTTGATGTTCAAAATTCGACTGACTGTTGTGTCAAAATTTTTGGGGGTTTTTGAGCTAATTCTGCTCTTGTTTTGGCAGGGTTTTCCACATGGTGGGTTCAAACCACTGGGTGGTGGCATTTGCTATTTTGACACACTTGTTTTGACATTTGAGTGCATGTTATTCCTGACAACTGGGTGTCTTTTAAATTCAACAAACTTTGCTAAAATACTTGGTGGAAGAATATATTCTTCAGAAGATTGGTTTACTGGGAGCACTTCAACATTTGTCAGCTTGAGAAGTTCAGTCTTAAAGACAAATTAGTTTTACAGGAAAGAGGAGAACAATTTTGCACAGGTTACCAGCAGCTGGTCCAGTTTCACCCTTTTTCCAGAAGGTTAAATGACCCCAGTTTTTAATATCGTGGAAGGGGATGTTTTTCCTCTCCCTGTAAGAGCACCAATTTTTCAATTCTTTTTGTCCTGGCTCTGGGTGTTGTTCTCTCTCATTTTGGCATGTGTTATTTTCACTCCAATGTTTCTGTCGTCATCCTTTGTGCACCCCAGCTCTGGGGATTTTCTGGTACTTTCATCTTTGGCACGTCCCAAGGTACAATGATTAAATTACAAGTCAATTCTTCAGCTCTTGTTTCTGGGGCCAGAAAATTCTGCACAATATGCAGGGCTTGTGAATTTTCAGAATGTCACTGTTTTTGAAATATCACCCCTTGAATAGGGATTTTTCCTTTTTTTACTATAAAGTGGGTGCTTTTTGAATTTCACCCTTTTTCCTCTAGGAAACAGAAGACACTTTCCGCATTTTTTGAAAAAGGGGTTGCTTGTTTGAATGTTTTCCCTTTTTCAAGGAAAGGGGAATTTTTTCAAGAAGGGCAATCTTCGAATTTTTCCCCATTCTTTAAGGAAATTGGAAGATGGATAGCACTGGCATTCTGTATTTGTAGAACAACTGCACTTTATGCACTGTCAATACCTTGAACAATGAAGCACATATATTAGAAAATCAATATCAACATTTTCAAAAATTCTAATTTTTTGGACATAAATATTTCAATTTGCTGGATTTTTCAAGAAAAATGTGGAAATTAAAAAAAATCTCTTTGCATCTAACCTCATTAAATTGTGGCGTTAAAATGTGAGATACAGGATAAATTTTCTAATAAATTTTTAGAAATGAAAAAAACTTGAATTTTAGGAGTGTTACAGAAAATGCTTCACATTCTCCTTTTTCACCTCTGTCACTTTGCATTATTTTTAATGTGTAAAAATGGGAAGTGTAGATTACTATATGGTACTTCCAATTCAGTTCAAAAATTTTATTTTGGTGCATATCTTCGTGGCAAATTACAAATGATGGAAAATTTAGAAGAAAACAGAAACAAGAATTCAATTTTTTGCCCACAATTCCAAGAAGGCAAAACATACAAAATCCATTTTTTGGGTGTGCAGATTTTTATACTTCGATTATCCATTTCAACTTCCAAATTTATGATTTTTTTTCTACAAAGAAACTACAGAAATAAGCAGAACTTCAAGGGGCACTAATCTAGCATGATATCAGAGCAATTCTGGACATGAAAATAATTTTGAAATTGAGCTGACTTGAAAAACAGGGATCCTTTCGCAATATTCACTTTCTGTTTGTCATTTCCAAAAATTATGAATATTTCTCCACATCTTAGATACACAAGCATACTGAAAATGTTGAGGGCACTACAATTAGTACTAACCGTGCAAAAGCAGATACTGTAAAAAAAAATTAATTAACTCAATAATAAATGATTTTCTTCCCATCATTACAACGCATAGATTAATGTACAGCCTACCACAGCAGTAACACGACTGAAGGTCCCCGTGTTTCTGTCAATAATAAGTG